TTGAAAGAGGTAATGCGCTTTTCAATATCATTATAGGTAAAATATGTAAATTTTAATTTCGTTTTTAGTTTAAATTTGCTTTCCATTTTTCACATATGCTTTGTACTATACATATGTATAGTATTTGCACTACAATTTTTTAGTTAGTTAAAAATTCAGAATTTCTCAATGTGTGTAAAAGCGAAGATATGTATATAGATATAGATATTTATTATTATTTTCATATTGGGTTTCATCATTCAAATTAATTCATTTAATAATTATGTGTTAACGAAGTTCTGCTAAAGGAAAAAAATTAACAAAAAAACTAAAGTTAATTTCACAATTTCCCAGATCTTACACATTATTTTTTGAATATCTCACAAACTATCAAAGCTACAAAACTCCAAAACTCCAAAAATAAAAAAAAATGTAAAAAAAACTATTGCAAGATTTAAAATAAAAAAATATTAATTTTATTAAATAAAAGTTGTTTAACATAACTTTATTTTTTTGTAAATTTTTATTGTGGCGTGTTAATTAATATTTATTTCAATAGTCTTATTGAGCTTTGTACCACGATTTGTTTGTTACGAAAAATGGAAAAAAAAAACAATAAAACTTAAGCTGAGCGGTCGATCCCTGCTGAAGTCTAGAAAAAAGAAGTCTGATGTAACACATAAAAAACACACAAAATATGGTAACTTTATTTAGTTTGCAAAAAAAATATTGCGAAATCTAAATAAAAAAAAATATTTAAATATCATTTCATTTTATTAAATAGAAAATGTTTAACATAACTTTATTTAGTTGGCAAAAAGAAATTTAAGTTCCAACAAAAAAAGGTTTTTTTTTACCGTTTCTTTATTCGAAATTCTTTTTTTTTACTTTTCCATTTTTTTGTATATATATTTCTTTATAGCCCTAAATAACACCTTTAAAACGAAACTAGAACCATTTTTTTGTTTGAGGTTTCGAGATAGTCAAAAAAAATTTGCGAAATCCCGGAAGTTATGATATGTATCTAGAATTTTGCATAACTTTGGAAAACAACTATTTTTTTTTTTTAAACTTTGGCAGAACTTTGTTATATGATAAAGGAATTGCTTTGATCAGAATTCATCCACATCAAAAATGTTCGGTTGAACATTGGTCGATTTCACATGGATTAACCGAATATTTTGTGTATCATTCAACTGCATACAATTTTTGAGTTGCCGCAATCTAAAGGCTCAAGGACTTCGTATTATTTTAATCGAATAGAAATTCGCCGAGAATAGCTCAAATATTTTCAGTTCACCATCACAACGCGGTAACTAACTACAAACATTGTCATTTTAATCCACATAATATTAAGGTTAGTTTTCATTGGCTGCGTTTCTTTATACATTCCGGATAATCCCATTTCACAGCCGGAATAAACAGAATGCCTTTGAAATATACGTTAACATATCATCAGGAACGTTCTAAAGAATAAGTAAACAAAAAAGTTTATTCCAAACGTTCAGAATGAATAAAGAAATGCAGCCATTATGTCAATTTCAATGGCATTTGTCGCCAAAACAGTAAGTGAAAACAATTATCAAATGGGACTAAAAAACGGTCTATCGATTGATTTATCATTGGTAAATGTATGGATAGAGGAGAAAATTTTGTCAAAATATGACGACACATTATTCGGTAAAATATGACATAACCCGTCATCGATTCGCCACTTCTCTGCTCGCAATTTTAAAACCAGCCTTTACATATCCGTTACGAAAAAAATCAATTTCCATTAGTAAAAGAACCGAATAGGGCATATTTTGTAGAAATTTAACGTACTAGTAAATATTTCGCGAGTGGGCTGGCTGAAAAAATCTTGGCAAGGATACTTTTTTTTCATTTTGCACTCATTTGTTCAATGAACAAATTACATATCGTCGCTACCATGATAAAAACATTACAAGGTAAATTCATTCTCTCATTTCGTCGGCCATAATTTTTTTCTGACGTTTGCCAACATTTTAAAATCATATAAAATTGAAAATAAAAAAATTAAATTGTTCACAATTGTTGTTGTTTGAGATTGAAAATGAGAATGTGTGTGTGAGTTTGAGTTTTGATCATGATTCAATAATGAAAGGTTTTGTAAGAAAAACTTTCTCTCGCTCTAATTTTATCAATGACACTCCCACCCTACTCCTAAAAACAAAAACAGTGATATTTCTTTTCCAAATTTCTTTGCAAGTTTTAAGAACATTTTTAAATTGTTAGTAGTGAAATTTTTACTTTTTAAATTTGAAGAAATGTTTGTTCTGCATTCGCTGGCGCCAACAAGACAAAATGGGTGAGAATCGTTGGACTACAGAAATTCAATGTTAAGAGACGAAATTCCCTTAAATGCCGAAATGTATTTGTCGATATTCGTGGAGACCTCTTGATTCTGCCAAGTCGCTGTAAAGTAAAGCGTTCAATGAGCCAACGAAGGTATTTAGGTATTGTACTCCACGACACAGTCCTGGTGTCTCCGAATGAGATTTTGACGCAATATAACATTGCCAAACCGCATCCATAGGCCCAATCGTCACACGACAGCTCGGTTTAGTCAATGGCGCGATGTAATTGCACACTTAAAAGGTGTACGCACGAGGCGAATGTTGGCTGGCGACCAACTTTATTGAAAGCGATTAGCTGAAAGTAGAATGCAAAGTTGAACAATACAAACGCCTTTTTTATGGCGAATATTTTAATATTTTTTTATATTTTGATATTTTTAGTCATTCAAATTTTTTTTCGTGCAACCCGGCGGGAGTTGAACGCAAAAGTTGCCTGAAAAATCGCCTCGTGCGAAAGCCCCATTACGCCACTTCTCATTTGACGATGTAGATCACGTTCCCTATCTCAGTCGTTCAGTAGCTGCGTGCTCTGAGTTCGTTCGGCACCAATCGCCAACTGCGGCTGTGCAAGCCAGTGTTGAATATTTTCCCCAGAACATAAAAAGTGCGACATCAAAGAATTCGAAACAATCGAGCCATAACCGCGAAAGAAACGTAAGCTCCAAATTTTTTTATTTGCCGTTTTTTTTTGTTTAATAAATATTGCATATTTTCCGCAAACAAATAGCTTCTTCATGTCCATCAACTGGCAAACAAATACAACAAAAAAAAAAGCTGAAAGTGGACCATCCATTCTCGAGTTATGCGCCATCTGACGTACGCAAGTTTGGTATAAACATAGAAATATTTATTTTTAATAACAATAGGGGGTTATATTCGATGTAAATAAGCTTGTTTAAATTAAATAATTAAATCAAATTCGTTTTTGTTTTAAAATACCACCATTCACTATTATCCCCACGTTTTTATAGAATTTAGCTCCCATTTTAGGAAGTGTGATTGAATTCTTCCCCTTTTTCTTCTGCTTCTAAAAAACCATCCCTGTGGGTGGGAGTGCCAAATTTTAGAAAAAAGCTACTTACAAAACCTTTAATAATTGAATCATGGTTTTGATTTTAAAATTATATTGTTGGCAAACGTCAGACTGCCTCTCAATGGTTTTACCTTGTTATGTTTTTATCATGGTAGCGACCATGATAAAAACATAGCAAGGTATAACCGTTCTCTCAATTTGTCGGCCATGATTTTTTTTTTTAAAGTTTGCCAACATTTTAAAATCATATAAAAGTGAAAACAAAAAATTTAAATTGTTCGAAATTGTTGTTGCTTGAGATTGAAAATGAAAATGTGTGTGTTAGTTTGTGAGTAACCCAGTGGGAATTAGGAGCACGTAATAATACCTTATTAGCAACTTACTCTTCACCTGGCAGTCATTACCATTTCCCTGCCGAACGTCCCTTACTTTTACAAAGGCATGACCGCCTTATGTAAGTAGGAATTTAGAATGTACATTTGGTATCAGACATACTTCTGAGCCGCTTTACAAAGTAAGTTACGTGTAATGCAGAGCAGTCGCTCGGAGTAGTTCGGTGCTTGAAAATAACTTCGGCTGCACGTTATTTTGCAACTGACAACGTAATGTGTCTTCGGAGGTGTTCATTTTGCCCTTTACTAGTAGATGACATTGGCCATGATGACAATTTTGGTACTAAAAACTGAAAGAAAACATGGCTTACCTCGCAAGGTGCTTACCTATTTTCCCAGTGGGAAATTTAAAAATTAAATTGTTTGGAAACGTCAAAAATTTTAAAAGTGACTCTCAGCGGTTCTACCTTACTATATTTTTATCATGGTCGCTACCATGTCAAACTATCGAATGTGCAAAATTGCTTTTTCATTTACGATCACTTGCGCATGCGTTTAGAATGATGAATGAAAAGCAGAGGTTACTGGTTTAGCAACGTGTCGAATCCCACACTTTTTCCTAGTGACAACAACATTTTTTACAACAGTTTCTGTGCTCTCCTGAAAAGTACCGATTTTTTACATTCGATAGTTTGACATGGTAGCGACGATATATACCAATCGAAAGCATAAAGCCTATAGAATGCGTTAAGGGCGCGGGACAAACATTTCAATCCCGATCCCGCCATTCCCGAAACGAAATTTTTAAGTTCCGAACACGCCCATCCCGACATTTTTCAGAATTGTACCGCGGGTCCCGTGGGGCCCGAAATCTATCACTAGGATTAATTCACATGTATGTATTTCAAATTAGTTTTAAATAATAAAAAAATCTGGTATTTTCCGGTTATTTTATTTTTTGCCTTGCTTCTCGTTTTCGTGTAAATAAAAAATAAAAAAGTTATTTCATAAAAGTGATTTTTCTTGCGGGTTTTATCGGGGGTGTCGGGAAAAGATTTTAATCGCGGCCCGCCCGCTAAATTTTTTAAAGACCTTCCCGATACCGGCCATTTTGAAATCACTACCGCGAGTCCCACGGGGCCCGATATCCCGCACCCATCATAGTTCGTACTTGCCAACCCGATATATAGGCCAGGAAAAAAAGAAAACCGAACGTTTTCACATGCTATAGGCTTAATACTTTCGATTGGTATGTAATTTGTTATTTTAAACTAATGAGTGCAAAATAAAAAAAATTTATAATTGAGGAGGATTTCTTCAGCTAGCCCACTCGCGAAATAATACGTTAAATTTCATACAAAAAAGATTTCATCCATTAAACAGATGGGTGAAGGTCGCGCCCTATTCGGATCTTAGACTATATATCTCTGAGTTCTGTTAAAACTACTTTATTGAAGACTATCTAAATTTAAACAGTAGCAGCCTTTTTTTTTGTTCTAAAAGGATTTTGAAAATAAGGCATTTCTATATTATATGAATTTATGTATGTATGTACGTGAATTTTTTGAAGACGAGGAAGATTTAATGAATTCATATTGTGTATATGTATTACCTTTCACCTTCAGACTAAAATTCCATTTAGAATCTTTATAACTTCCTTAATGAATTAATGACTAGCTCATACATTTCTATGTATGTATGTATGTATGTATGTACATTAGACTGCATCACAAAAAAGTTGCGGTTTCGGACAAATATTAAGATTTACGTGAGCTGAATTGATTTCAAAAAAAAACCTCCAAAAATGGAGTTTTTATGAATAAAAATATTTTCTTAAAACTTTTTTAAAAAGCCTCTCACAAAATTTTTTTAAGCTTAAACCGTTTTGTAACTTGAAAGGATTTTTCTCAAAAAAAAAACATCTTTAAGAAACTATTTTGATTCATAAAAAACTGCATTTTTGGAGGTATTTTCAAATCGGTCCAGCTCACGTAAATCTTAATATTTTTCCGAAATATTTTGGTGGACTTCTTAAAATATAATAGATTTTATAATTCCAATCAAAACACAGTACGGTTTTTTTTTTTTTGTATGGAGAGTGATGCAGTCTAATGTATATGTATACAAATTTATACCTTATAAATTATCAGCTCATTAAACCTTTATTACTGCACTCTGTGCACATTTAAGTTGGCACAAACTAAGTACATATTAACAGCTTTTTTACGCGAATGTCTTTTAAATGTAACTAACTACTGTGATATATTTTTACGCTGATTATCGAAATTACCTACTTTTATAAAACAATATCATTTGTGTATGCCCATAGGCCAACCAATCATTGTTTTCCGACCCGATGTTGCATTGTCACATGAAAACGATGAAACTTACAAGGGTAGTTTGCAGAACTTTGATGAACTGAAAATTTGGGTGCAAGAAAAAATGTGTACCCTTAGTGCGTGAGATTACATTTGAAAACGCCGAGGAATTGACGGAAGAAGGTTTACCATTTTTGATACTTTTCCACAAACCAGACGATACCGATGCGATCAAGGACTTTAAGGCTATCATTGAAACTCAGTTGTTGGATGAGAAACGTATGAAAGAGAGAAACAAAAGCAATGAAATATTCAAATTTACCAATTCATTTTGCAGAGAATATCAACTTCCTAACTGCGGACGGTCAACGCTTTGCACATCCGTTACATCATTTGGGTAAATCAGACGACGACTTGCCATTGATTGCTATCGATTCATTCCGTCACATGTATTTGTTCCCCAAATTCGAAGATATGTATCAGCCTGGCAAGCTGAAACAATTTTTACAAGATTTGTACAGTGGAAAATTGCACAGGTTTGTTGCAAAAAGTCTAGCAATATGAATTCTTATTTCAAAATATTATATCTCTTGGACGTTTTTTCTAAAATTATTTTTCTTTACCTTTTCTTCACATGGCTAAACAGAGAGTTCCACTATGGTCCCGATACATCCGGTAATGAGGTGCAAACCGAATTAGTATCAGGCAAAGGCACATCACCGCCGGAATCGAGCTTTAAGAAATTAGGACCTTCGAAGAATCGTTACACGCTACTGCATAAGGATGAGCTGTAAGGTCGATTATTAGGCTTTAGGTTAAATACATACACAAGTATACACCCAGATACATCTACACATAAATATGTGCTGGTTGCACTTAAACTTGCACAGACAGACACCTGCTAAATAACACCAATCAAAACAAACAATCAATCAATCTCATATGCTAAAATACAACAAAATTTAGAAATATGCAAGTTTTTTAATACATACATAGTTATGCTGCGTTTTTTTTTTGCTTTATACGTGCATATGTTTGTCTGTACACTCGTCGATTGTCCAGAATATTGTTTTTCTTTTCTTTTCAAAATGGGTGCATATTTTGTTTATTCTTTTTATTCTTTGCTAAAAACTACACGAAATGTTATTGTGATTATAGGTTTTTTTTTGTTTTACGATATAAAGAAAGTTTATTTAAACTATTGAAAAAATAGCACATAATATTTTTTGATGTATGTATGATTTGCTAAATACAGTAATAATTTTCCTTATAGTATGTACATATATGGTAGCGTTAAGCTGGCTTTCAGTTGTACATTTTTCATTAAAATCCCTTTCAGTGTAAATCACACAGTTGTAAAAATAACTATATTTACTTTGGATAAGTTTTTTTAAAGTTAGAAAATGGAATGTATTTTTATTTAATTAATTGCGCCGAGCACTATGTTCCACATAAAGTAGAGTGCGCTGATTTTTTTCCTAATATTACTGATGAAATAAAAATATACTAAGGTAATTGAAAATGAAATTTTCTTGCAAAGACTGTAGAGCAAGTCAACAAAAAATCCATCGTGTACTTCCGACGAAATTTACAACTTGGAAGCCTTAAGGATATTCAAAGAAAAGGATTTGTGAAGCAGAATATTTTTGCATCGGTTAAATGTCGGGAGTATATACTTTATGCAGTGCCTTTGGGACATCGTAGAATCTTTAGTTTTGAAAAATATTTCCAACTTATTTTTCCATACATTTTCGTTTTCCTTACTATGCAATATATACCACACTTATTACTTCTCGATAAAGACATACAAAGATGGAGCAAAACTTTGTCAATTTAAAATGCGTGCTACAAAAAAAAAAACTAGTATATCCAATTTAGACCAATAATAAATACTTAAAGCAACCAGCTATAGAAGACACATATATCTTAAATACATAAAAACTTATTTGAAACGCTTACGAGACTTATTAAAACGCCATTAATATAAGTATAAATCAAATTTTTCGTAAAAGTTACATTTTTGTATAATTTTAGTTGCAATTTTTTGAAAACGTTTCTGCTCTGTAAATTTATTTTAGCAGTTAAAAAATAAAGTATTAATAAAACAACATATCTAACATATTTGTTCAAATATAGGCCAACAGAATAATAAAACCTGTCCTTAAAGTTGACATTTTTTCCGAAATTGAATATGTTACTTGTGAATCCAACTCTAAAAGGACTTAAAACTTATGAGCTATTTAAAAACGGCATCGTTGTTGCTGCAGTCATCGAAAATTCTAATTCGGCCTAAGCTGAAAATTGTAATCGTCGGTAAAAGTATCTGGCCAGATCTGTACCTGGCCAAGGGCTGTGACTCCAGCTGGCTTTCCCTTTGAGGAATTTGTATGCCCCTGGAACAACCTTCGTACTAGTTCTGAAAATGGGAGTCGAATAATTTGCGGGTTTTTCCTATAATGTTGTTGGAAGTCTGTCCCTGATGTATCGAGATGAAAAGCAATTACTACATACATACAAACATACATATACATATATATACCAACTACTTTTAGAGCAAAACCTTTTTCCTTTATGGAGGAGTTCATCCTTCACGATGACTCTGGACTATGCGCATGAGCCAAATCGGTAAGTATTTTTTTGCAATTACTTACATGGCCTAATTGTAAATTGCATTATAGGAAATCTCTGGTTAATTCGCTATTTAATTCTTTGGGTAAAAATATATTTGAAAGAATTGGCTATTTTATCATTGGACACAGTACTGATCTGAGGCCAATAAAGAAACTCTGTCACCAGGGACTTTCTCAGAGCTTGAACAAATAACTGAATACACTTGCTATAACAACACTTATTTGAGATTTTTTTATAGGAGCATATTTAACGGTAAACTAAAAATTTCACATAATTTCGGCTTCTAATTAAAGACGTAAAATATACATAGTCGCCACTGGAACATGTATATTTTTATCTTGATCACAATTGAATGAAATAAGTAGTTTATTAGAAATTTTTATTTATTTTATTTATATATTAACAGCTGTAACTTATAATTAAAATTAGAAATTTTATTATATTTAACTTACTTAAAACAAACAAAAGAAAACACTAAATAAACAAGAGTTACTAGAGTATGCATATATTTTACATGAGGAGTCGTGAATTTAGAAACCCATAAACGATGTTTACATATCCATTCGCCACAGCGCGTACACATCTCACCGTTATGGGTTTGCGGCGCTCTTTGCCCGCGCTACACGTTGTTTTCATGCCTACAAGAACATACGCTAATCCTTGCATTAGTACTATGCATAAATATGTATATAGCGTATAAAAATGTAAATTATTCCTTACCGTCTGTAGTCTACCTGCATATCGACGACTGCCTGTTGACGGCTGCTTGATGCCTGCGCCTCTAGTTTGTCCATGCACATGACCGTCTGTCGTGCACCACACCAACGAACTACGTACGAGTCTTTACATACATACATACATATATATACTATGTATGTAAGTGATATACAGTAGAGGTGATGTTTTTCTTTCTTTTTTTCGTAGTAGACAATTTGACGGTCTTTTTAATTATCGCGTTCGACACATCAATTTTTTATTACTGTGATTCAAGTCTACGCGTTCTTAAAAGTATGTTAGTTAACTTAACGTTTTTTCACGAACACTCGCCAATTGTCGTCGAAAGCCTCTAACTGCTACTATGAACTTAAGCTTAGAAATTCTCTGGCCACAGCTATCCTATTCGCATAAACAAAACATGTAGGTAATAAACTGAGGTAGGCGAAATTTTAAACTATGATAAACACATTTCTGCACGTACATATGTACATAGGTATGTATGAACCTAACAACTCCAGTAACCGCAGTATTGGCTATCAACACATCTAATTGCGTGTGAGTAATAAACATAAAAATTCCGACTAGGGCACTGTTTGGTAAAACGTTGAGTGCATGCAAGCTTATGGGAATCCCATTTTTAACGACGTTATCTTTCATTTCTTGCTAACAATGTGATTTGCTGTTGTGCTAGTTTTAAGGAAACAAACAAGTAGAAGCATCCATGAACGTGAAATCAAAATGATAGAGAAAGCATCTTCGACCACCAAGTAAGAGTACAGTGAGTAAGCTCAACGAAGCCACAAACTTCATACATATGTATGTACATGGTTAGGAATATCCGCTTAAGCATACCGATGTAGTTAAATAATGAAAAAATATAGTATTGATTATGTTGTTGTAACAGCGTGGGAACAATTATTTTAGTTACCAATTCATTTAGTAATAATTAAAGCAAGTTATTATAAATACAAATTCAATTTTATTGTTCTGTTTAAATGTGCTCGGATTTTAAGTCGGAAAACACTTTCGGAATGTACTTATGTTTTTATATACTTAAGTAAACAAACTTTGTACCATATTAAAATTGTGCTACCGATGAAAAAAATATGATATGTACATATATCAACCATATTTCAGTTTGTAAATGCATTCAATAAAGGTATGCATTTCAACTTCCCCATTTTTTTATGAATTTTCGTACACGCTGTTTTTATCATGATACATCTTATTAATAAGAGAACAGAATCCACGGTATTATTGGTAAATTAAATTTTCAATAAAAGCTAGTGCTTTTTTAAAGCAATAATAATAAACCGCTTCATTATACTAAGGTATCTATGTATATTAATTGGACGGTTAATATTCGAACACAATAATGCTGAAATATATTGTATAAACTATCTAACGATTTTTGTGCTTAATTATTCGAGTTTCATGTTACGATTATTAGCTTTAATAACGTGAAGGCTCCGAGAGGTGAGCTTTATATTAATCTTTACCAAGTTTTAATAGAGGCATGAAAGCATGCCCAATACCGATAACACAATCAAACCTCCAATTATTGTGCGGCTTGCCATTTGGGGCTGCGTTGACCCACTCTGCAAGAGATGAAAATTACAGATATTTTAATCCGTGTTTTTATTTGATATTAATTTAATTTAATCAACTTACAATCACAAAATAATTACAGCGATCGCCGACGCAGCATTCATAACACCACCAATCCTCGTACCAAATATGTGTGCAATACTGCATGTAGCGTTTACGACGCTGCTGGCACTGTTGCTTCGTCAAACACCGCTTGGAAACATAGTATTGCTTCAGCGCACCTTGAGAGAAATACGGCTGACTGCCCCAACGTATCTCCGTACCGCAAGCATCCTCACCTGGTTCACATGTTTTTATTGTATTCAGGCATTTCTCAGTATTACCAGTTTGGTTGGAACACACATAGCACTCCAATCCGTGTACGAAGTGTACTGAAATTAGGGCGTTAGCATAGAAAACAGTTTAGCATTTCAGCAACCGGTGGTGACCACATTTACCTTGTCCTATGTAATATATGGCTATTACTGTGAGAATCAGAAGCTTCCATGTTTCCATTACTACACTAAGGATAATAGATAATACCACCAGTTGCAGGATTAAAAATGAAGAAAACACAACCAACGCCTTTTCAGAACGAATGTCAGAACAGGGATAGATCACAACACTTCCACTGGAATTCACTACCGGACGTCACTGGAATGCACTACCGGAAGTATAGGGTGATAAACACTGGTTTCACCCTGTTGCATTTGGTCCCAACCGATATTTGGTCCGGTCCCATATAATAGTTGCGTTTTTTTTTACTAATTTCCAGTAAAATCCAGTAAAAGTTTTTACTTAATTTTCATGTTTTGGCGTTTTCGTTCGTACGCAAAAACTTGCAAAGTAGGGGAAATTGAGAGAGCGAAAGTTTTAAGTTTTTACTGGATTTTACTGGATAAATTTTTACTTGTAAGAATTTGCCAGTACGAAAAACAGCTGATCGCATGTTGCTGGATGAAATTTAAACTAATAAGGAAACTGTTTGTGCCTTTTTATTGTGGAAATTCACAAAATAAACATATTTAAATATAAAATATATTGTTTTATTAGGAATATGCTGCGAATAGGCAACCAATTTATCAGCTGTTCATGAAACTTGCAAATTATTACTGGAAAAGCGTTCACGTACTTTTTTGTAAATTTTTTCTATGAGAGCGAATTCTTAGAAATAAAGTTACCGGAGAGTTGCTGGCAAGTAAAAAAACACAACTAATATCCCATTCCTTGTAACTGTAATTCCCATTTCCAATTAATTAATTAAACGAAAAAGCAAGCAAGCACTATTTGCACATATTTACATTACAATCGTTCTTTAAATCGTAAATTAAATCGTTCTTTGGTGATTCGTCTGAATCGTGAATCGTTCTTGAGAACTCGTTCGAGATTTTTGTAAACAAAAGTGGTATTATATTACGTAATTACGTGAATTATATAGCTTTATAAAAGTGAGCCGTGAGCGAAAGTGCCGTGTAAAAAACTGCATTAACGAAAATAGCGAGAGGCGGCTTTTTTCGTTCCCCAAGGACGCAAGTGAGGTGGCCAAACGGAGGGAGAATCTCCGCATAAAGGATAATCCG